GTTATGGTCTCGTTAAAGTTACTAAAAGCAATTTAGTGAAAGGAGTTATTCAAACTCTAATGAAAACTACTAACCATTTGTACTAATTTACTTCCCTTTAAAAAAGCCTATGAAAATTTTTGTGATTGTAAAAGTATACGTGTATATTTGTAAACTACTCATAGAATGAAGTGCCATATCATAACAGGGCCGGTTCAGGGAATTCAACAAACAAACACAAATTTGGCGGTCTCATGTTGCCTTCATGCTGAAATGTATATCGAGGCCTAGCCGCGAAAATGAAGTAAGAGAACTTTTTTCAAATTTTAATTTTGATGCATAAATGCCTCTTAGAGCACCTGCATCAAAAAGTAATCTATACATATAATAAAATTGTAACAGGTCGATGTCTGTACATTATAGATATTAAAGAAAAATTAATGTGGGGGTCTTTTTTAGAGCACCAGAGGCCAAATCCACCATTTTTAGAATTTTTTTCTGTCTGTCTGTCTGTCTGTCTGTCTGTCTGTATGTTTGTTCGCGCATCACTCGAAAACGAATGCATGGATTTGAATGCAGTTTTCACCGATGCATTGCTAGAGGTCTAACTTAAAATTTAGGATGAAAAAAATTAGAGAGTTGCCACCTGTTTGAAAATTGGAGTTTAAGTAAATTGATAAGAAAAAATGAATATTGCAATATGGGCGTCAAAAGAAAGAGAATGAAGAAGGCTTACAGCCAAAGATATTTTTTTAGAGTTGCCACCTGTTTAAAAATTTACATTAAATTTAATTTATAAGATAAGTTGAATATTGCAATATGGGTATCAAACTGAAAGGGTTTAGGAAATTATATTGCCGAAAATATTTTTAGGGGGGGCTGCCACCTGTTTGGAAAATTGTATTGTATTAAATTGATAAAATAAATGAAATCTATATCTACATCTATAAATCTATACATATAATAAAATTGTAACAGGTCGATGTCTGTACATTATAGATATTAAAGAAAAATTAATGTGGGGGGGTCTTTATTAGAGCACCAGAAGCCAAATCAACCATTTTTAGATTTTTTGTCTATCTGTCTGTTTGTCTGTCTGTATGTTTGTTCGCGCATCACTCGAAAACGAATGCATGGATTTGAATGCAGTTTTCACCGATGTATTGCTAGAGGTCTAACTTAAAATATAGGAAGAAAAAAATTAGAGAGTTGCCACCTGTTTGAAAATTGGAGTTTAAGTAAATTGATAAGAAAAAATGAATATTGCAATATGGGCGTCAAAAGAACGAGGCTGAAGAAGGCTTACATCCAAAAATATTTTTTAGAGTTGCCACCTGTTTGAAAATTTACATTTAATTTAATTTATGAGATAAATTGAATATTGCAATATGGGTATCAAACTGAAGGGGTTTAGGAGATTTTATTGCCGAAAATGGTTTTAGGGAGGGCTGCCACCTGTTTGAAAAATTTTATTGTATTAAATTGATAAAAGAAATGAAATCTATATCTACATCTAGATATACATATAATAAAATTGTAACAGGTCGATGTCTGTACCTTATAGATATTAAAGAAAAATTAATATGGTGGGTTTTTATTAAAGCCACAGAAGCCAAATAAACAATTTTTAGAATTTTTGAATATCTGTCTGTCTGTATATTTGTACGCGCATCAGTCGAAAACATGGAATTGAATGCAGTTTTCACCGTTGTATCGCTAGAGATTTAGCTTCCAATATAGAAGAAAAAATTAGAGAGTTGCCACCTGTGTTTAAAATTTCAGTTTAGGTCAATTGATACGGTAATGTGAATACTGCAATATGGCTGTCAAATGAAAGAAATTTACAAAGGCCTACAGCTGAAAATATGTTTGTGGAAGGTTGCCACCTATTTGAAAACTTTAATTTAATATAATTGATAGCATAAATTAAATATTGCAATATTGGCATCAAACTAAAGACGATAGGAAATTTTAATCCTGAAAATATTTTTAGGGGATTTGCCAACTGATTGAAAAATTGTATTCATTGAAATTTGTAAAATAAATGAAATATTGCAATACGAATATTAAACTAAAGAGGATTAGGAAGCTTACTTTTGAAAATATTCTTGAAGCGGGTTGCCACTTATTTGAAAACTTTAATTCAGTTAAATTTACTATATAAACTAAGTGTTGCCATATGGGTATCAAACGAGAGTACTTGAGAATAATAAAATTGCAACAGGCCGATATCTGTACATAATAGATGTTAAAGAAAAATTAATAGGGGATTTATTAGATCAACAGAAGCCAAATCTAAAATTTCGGTATGTTTGTCTGTATGTTTGCAAGCGCATCACGTAAAAGCTAATGTATGGAATTAAATGCAGTTTTGCTAGAGCTCTAATTGAAAATATAGAATCAATTTTTTTTTTGTTTTAGTTTATCGTCGATCATTATTCCTAGGTATTTGAACGTATTAACTTTTTCCAGTGCGTCGTTGTTTATATTTAGAGTTAGCAACGCACCGTTCTCAAAATTTCGCCTTGATATAACCACAAACTTAATTTTTTTTTATTTCTGTTTGGAAGGGTTTTCGCTAAAAAAAATTTAAACTTTTCGTTGTTGCTGCCAAAAAAATAAGAAATCTGAGACGTCACGTTTTACAATTTCATACAGTTCTCTTTACAATGCATTTCACTAAACTACTAAACGGCTGCATCGACTTGGTTCATATTTGGCAACACGTTGAAAATAAATATTCTGACCAAAAATTTACTCGGTATTTAGCTCGGGATATTCCTAAAATTCTTATACAGACTAAAACGTAAAAAACCAATATATCACTAAAACCAATTACGCTGGGCAACTGAAACTTAGCACTGATGCATATATTGCAAATGCATTGGGAAAGGGGGCGTGGCTCCTTCCTTCCATGCAAACTGAACTTCTCATATAGCTTATGTCTGGAACTGCTTACGCTAACGTCCTGAAATTCTACACAGCTACATATGTTATCAATACCGTAGTTATGGCGAAAAGTGATAATTATTGGAAAGGCTGGATCGATATACATTTAGGTAAACGCGCAAGTATCACTCGATTGGGAACCATTTTCTCCTAGATTTATAAATCCCATTGAACTATTGTAACTTTGTCTTTAATTTTCAGTAAAGTAAAATTTTTGTGAAAATTTTGAAGAATTTTTTTAAGTTTTTCACAAAGAATGGAGCTTTGCTTTTACGAGTTTCGCTATAAACTGTCCTATCTACATACCTATTTGCATAAAATGATAGCCGTTTTCGTTGTTCGGAATAAACTCAAAAAACACTGAATAGAGTTCCGTCAGATTGTCGGAGGTTATCTTACATACATATATGGTCCAATTACATGCTACTATAAAACTCGCTAGGTGGTGCTGGAGTACAGTTATTTATAAAAATCGTATTTATTAACCGATTTCGTTCAAATTTTAAATGTGAGCTATGTACCTGTATGATGGAAAATTCTTTTGATAAAAATTTACCCGATTAGTGCCGCTGGAGTTAAGGTAGAAATTCATAACACGTATTCATTTTATGGTAAGCAATGGTTTTGCAGAAAATAAGCCCAATGGATGGCGCTGCAGCCGAAATGTATAGAATCCCCGTGTGGTTGGTCTGCTTTGGACCTATGTTTAAGTTATACGAATTTAGTTTTCAGATGTTTAAATGAAGCATGGGGTTAAGTTTTTCTGACGCCCTCATGCACGATCATGCGGTCTTGCATCAACCCTGAAATCAGTTCATAAATTTTACCACGAACTGTAAAAGTGGTGAATTAACAAGGAAAGATCACCGTAGGTATATCAACTGCTTCATTTGAAAGATACTTAAGAGATCACACTACTCATTTAGCAATGTACCGGAAAACTTTTCATCCTATGGGACAGCGAGGATTCTTGGCCTTCCTATAAAGAAAATGCACTTCTGTGCTCTTGAGTTTCCCTATAAGAACTTTTATTGGCATACGTAAGATCATACAAAAAGATTACGCATGATTGGCAGAGATCTCACAGGTGAAAATAAGACCATCAGTAAAGCTCATGACGCCAAAAGGGATTGGTATTCCATATGGTATCACAGCGTTACTACTATTTGCCTATGTGTGAGGAGGATACTGCGCCTTAGTGGTTTCAACTTAAATCAAAAACTTTGACTTTACAGACTAATTTTGTTTTTAAACGCTCTTTGGCATTGGCTAACGCAAAAGCTCTTATTAGGCGCCGCGAAGTAAGCGGGCATTGGCTAGTTTAAATATATATATATATAATTATTTTAGCGGTTAGAGCTCGGTATGACGAATTTCTCCGATGCTCCTCGTTATTTGGAAATCTGAAAAATTGGAAGATAGAAGATCTTTTCTTAACAAAGACAAAACTTATTTACACATAAAGCGGTGTGGTATTTTATACGTTGGCCGAATCCAATAAAGCACGTTACTCGATTCCCTTCTATGCCAATTGGAAATGCCAACTGATGCCAAGTCCTTCTCTAACTTGTATTTTTATCCTCTGCAACCACCAACGGCCGCAGCGCTTCTCATAGATTTACAAAAATTTTATTTTTTTGTTAATTTTTCATAAGAATTGTTTTTAAATAAAAATTTGTGAACCCGCTCCTGAATTTTGAAAAGTAAAAATTGTCATTTTGAGTACATTCGCTTATCGGATCTCTTTCTTTTTTCAATTATTCGGCACTCTGATGTTGGGGAATGTACTTTGAATGTACTAGCGATATAGAAGTATTACATATATGATTCCAAAAGTGTATTCTTTCGCTTGAGTGAAATGCAAGAAGCAGCATGTAAAAAGCTGTTTTTCTTACTGGCAAATTGTTATAAGGAAGAATTTATCCAGTAAAATCTTGCAACTTCCTCTCAAAATTTTTTTCTCTCAACTTCTCCTACTTTATAAATTTCTGCCAAGTTTTGCGTATGAAAACGCCAAAATATGATAAATTGTAACAATTGTTACGAACAAACAGAAACTTAGGCTAACCGTAATATTTATAGTATGTGCATACATACATATAAGCTGCAGTGAGCGAACGAGAGTATTTAGTAAGTTTGAGTGCAAGAGATTCACTCAGACATTACACCCCTTAACGCCCAGGAACGCTGTAAAAATCTGGTGGACGGCGAGCACGATTGGATCGTCGTGGAGTGCAATCGTCTGATGAGATGCCTGCGTCCAGCGGTGTCGAACTATCTGCTGCGGTGGAGGGGTACGACCGATGCTGCGAAGAACCCTCTGAATTGGACTGTTGTTGAAGTGGAGAAGATGGACTGCTCTCATCCATCGCTGCAGACCCCGATTCCGATGAGGTTTCTGGCTCTTTAGAGTTTTGGTTAAAGAGAGCTAAGTCATTACCCCGTTCAGCTACTTGTCGAATTCTTATCTGATCCAGATGCCGTTTTATGATACGCGAATCGTCGTCCAGCTGAACTGCATATGATATGGGTCCATTCCTTGAATTAATTTTCGCTGGTACCCATTTAGGTCCTGTGGAGTAGTTTCGCACCCACACTGGGTATCCATCGTTGAAGGACTTCTCCCTGCCAATTTCGTGCTTTGCAGTAGGCAATTCGTGCGGATGAATTTTATCGAAAAATGTCTTTAGTTGTCTCTTAAACATAAGCTCTGCAGGTGAACGCCCAGTAGATGTATGCGGCGTAATATGCTGATTGAAAAGAAACCGTGACAGCCTTAAGTCGATGTCCTGCCACTCTGGTGTTTTCTTCAAGAAGTCCTTCGTTGTCTGCACCATTCGTTCTGCTTGACCGTTGGACGACGGGTGAAATGGGGCACAGCGAATGTGACGAATTAAGTTGTCCTGCATGAATGTTTTAAATTCATCGGATGTAAATGCTGTCCCGTTGTCTGACACTATCTCATCCGGCAGCCCATGAGTTGCGAAGAGTGATCGAAGGGGTTTGATGGCCGATTGGGATGAGGTTGACTTGACCAAGAAAACTTCAAGCCACTTCGAGAACGAATCTACAACGATGAAGAAAATCTTACCTTGAAACGGCCCATCAAAATCTACATGGAGGCGTGACCATGGATTTTTCGTTGTTTCCCACCAATGAACTGGCGCATGAGCATTCTCGTGACGAGTAGCTTGGCAAGGTGCACACATCTTTACAATATCCTCAATCTCCGACTCCATTTTCGGCACCCAGCCATAGCTTCTCGCTAAGGCCTTCATTCGCACAATGCCCGGATGGCCAGTATGTAACGCACTGAGGACTACCTGTCGACTTTCTGTCGGGATGATTGTTCTGTTCCCCCATAGTAAGCAACCTTTTAGTGATGAGATTTCTTGTCGGCGAACATAAAAGGGATACAGCCTGTCCGATCGGCTCATGTTAGGTGGCCACCCCCTTAACGCCCAGCTGAGAACTTTTGCCAGGTCCGCATTTTTGGCAGTTTGAACAGCGATATGTTTGGCGTCTACTACGGGCTTGTTGACCATTTCTATCATCAGTACATCTTCCTTAATCATTCGTTGCTCATCCATTAAGGGTAATCGACTCAAAAAGTCAGCGTTCCCCAGCTTATTTCCCGAACGGTATGCAATTTCAAAATCGTACGCATTAAGGAAAATTCGCCGTCGAAGCATTTGCGATGATATCACATTAGGAACGGGCTTGGTCGTATTGAAGATACCCAATAGGGGCCAATGATCGGTAACCAGAGTAAATTTGCGCCCATAAAGGTAGTCGTGAAATTTTTTCACTCCAGCGATTAACGCTACAGCTTCGCGGTCTATTTGGGCGTAATTCCGCTCTGGCTTCGATAAGGTCCTAGAGTAAAATGCAATGGGCCTCTCACACCCCTCAGGCATGCGGTGGCTGAGAACAGCGCCGATGCCATATGGCGATGCATCACAAACTACCACCAATGGCAATTTTGAGCTATAGTGTACTAGAACGCGTTCGGATACTATGAGCTGCTTAAGATTTTCGAACGCCTGTTGTTGTTCCTTTTTCCAGAACCAATGGGAGTTCTTATCCAGTAGGCGATGTAAGGGCTCGGCAATTGTAGCTTTGTTCGGTAAAAAGGAGTGGTAGAAATTGAGGAGGCCCAAGAACGCTTGCAATTGTTTTTTGTCTTGGGGTGCTGGAGCGTTTTGAATGGCCTTGACTTTACTCTGAGATGGCCGAATGCCCAGTGAATCCAGCTTGAATCCCAGGAACTCGATGCTTGAGACTCCGAAGGAACACTTATCCTTTCTTAGTCGAAGACCAGCGGTGTTGAATCGGCTAAATACCTCATGCAGCCGAGCAGCGAGCTCAGCCTCTGTTTTGCCCATTAGAACGATGTCGTCAAAATACGGCAGCACCCCCGGAATATTTCTTAAAAGTGTTTCTATAAAATTTTGAAATATCCCTGACGCTGAAGAGATTCCAAATTGAAGCCTGGTAACTCTGAAGGCGCCTTTGTGAGTGACGATACTCTGCAACACGGATGATTGTTCGTCCACTTGCAATTGCTGATAGGCTTGTGCAAGATCTATTTTGGCAAAAATGCTGCCTCCCTCTATAGACGAAAGTAAAGTGTTGATAGCAGGTATCTGGAAGTTGTGCGGCTTTAGTGCTTTGTTAAGCGTCGACTTATAGTCGCCGCAAATGCGGATTGTCCCGTCGCTCTTAGGAACCGGCACAATCGGTGTGGCCCAGTCCGAGTACTCAACTGGCTCTAGGATCCCTTCTGAACATAGGCGGTCTAGTTCAGCTTCGACAAGGCCTTTGGTGGCTAATGGAATACGCCGAGGTGGATATCGAATAGGTTGAACTGACTTGTCGATGTAGAGGGAAACTGGCTTCCCTTTGAAACACCCCAGCTCCTCTGCGAAAAGATGATTAAATTGCTTAAGGATACCTTTGATTGACGATGCTTTTTCAACTGCATTGACGCCCTGAATTGTAATGCCCAGTGGGGTGAACCAATTGCACCCTAATACGTTTGAACGGTTTCCGTCTACGACAACGACGGGTAAGCAGCTGACCTCACGGCCGCCGTATGATACATCTGTATCAACCACACCCATTATAGGAATTCTATTACGTTGAAAATCGACAAGTTCAAGGTCACTGGTGTGCATGATTGGCTTCTGTACCGGCCACACACGTTCAAATGTTGTTGATGACATTATGGTATAGTTTGACCCCGAATCGATTTCAAATGTGCAATTATATCCATTAATACTGATGGTCGCTGATTTTTTCAAATCAACCAGAGGCAAAATTTGATTTATGGATTGTGGTTTCTGCTTTTTTAACCGTCCTGATGAATGCGATGTCTTTTGCTGATTGGCTGAGTTAGATGCTGATGAGCGACAAACACGTTGAAGGTGACCTTTTGTGCCACACGACGAGCAAATTGTTTCTCGATGCGGACACTGACAGCGGGCATGTGAGTCACCACATCCATTGCATGGCTTTGTTTGTGCGTTGGAACTAGCACGCGTTTTCAAACGATTATGGCGATGGTTGTTGTTGGACGCTACATGATGAACCTGTTCGGAGTGTCGCATTTCAGATGCGTGCTTAAATGCTGCTTCGGCAGTAGCAGCTCGATCGAGAACCTTTTGCAACTTCAAGTCCGGCTCTGCTAGTAGATTGCGCTGCAATGCCTCATCACGCAAGCCACATACCAAGCGATCTCTTAGCATGCGATCCAACGCCGTGCCAAAGTTGCAATCAACAGCCAATTTGCGCAAGGCTGCGACGTACTCGGAAAATCCCTCATTAGATTTTTGGTCTCGTTTGTGGAATTTGTAATATGCCGCGATTTCCGAGGGCCGGGGAGAAAAATGATTTGTTAAAATCATTTTGATTTCATTTATGCTTAGTTGACTCACCTGACGGGGCGAGGCCAATGACGACAGAAGATCATATAATGGCGCTCCGGCTAAGGTGAGAAATACGGCCCTTTGCCGATCGTTGCCCTGTACGTCATTGGCCAGTAAGTAGAGCTCGAACCTCGCATAATACGTAGACCAATTTTCTGGGTGTTCCACGTTGAACGGTTCCAGATTCCCAAGTGTCGACATTATGTGGCGAGAAACGTTTTCCTCAAACTGCAGGTGCTGCGGTGTTAATTGCGCTGTTGGTTTAACTTCTTCTGGCATCGATGTGTGATGAAGTAAAACGAATGATTGCTGAAGGTGACCTTGGCTTGCCCTTTAGCTTTGACTTCTCGCAATATTCACGTTTTAGGTTGCGCAGGAACAACAATAATGTTAAGCGATTTTGTTTTGGCGAACGGTTGCTATATACTAATGAATGTTACGGTATCCTACCGACTGCGCCAATTTAGTATTCAGCAACAACTTTATTAAATATATATAATTAGTTACAATGTTCGTTTGTTGATGTTCGCTACGCGACTGCCTATTATTGCTAAGACTCAAGTTATGTATACTTAGGCTAACCGTAATATTTATAGTATGTGCATACATACATATAAGCTGCAGTGAGCGAACGAGAGTATTTAGTAAGTTTGAGTGCAAGAGATTCACTCAGACATTACAGTAAGCATACACAGAGCTTATTTTCAAACTGCGGAAACGTCAAAACCAATGCTATCCGGTCTTTATCTGGTGAACGAATCGCCGGATAAATTTATTTCTCAGTTAGGTTAATTATTCTCTGAATAAACTTTAACTGCCTATTGTAAAACACCATTTCCTCTTATTAGTCCAGTTAGTACTTATTCGTGGCTTATCTGACTCTTGAAAAACTGGATCTAAGTGGAACCACTCTTTTTTTTTAAGCTGAATAACGGTAAATTGCAAATATCTCGAGAACGTATCCATAGAAACAAAAACTAACTCGATTTTCGGAATCACCGAGCAATTCTATATATATAGAAATTGGATAGTGGCATCCATAGAACATTTTTGCTGTAAAACAGTTATTGTTTAAAAATGTTCGGGTGAATTCCCAAACGTCAAAATAAAAAGCATCAGTCTCTTTTATTCTAACCCTCAGTAGATTGTAATGTTAAATGTGCGCAACCTTGGTTAGATGCTAGTTTTCTACTAGGTTGCGCAAGTTAGACTGTTTCTTTTAGTGCGCTTTAGAAACAAAAGAGACTGATGCATTGTATTTTGACGTTTTGGAATGCACCCATCCTTTTTAAAAATAATATTTTTATACCAAAATTTAGGGGGGTGAGCCCAGCAAAAAATCGGTAATCGCTTTTAGTGGTAACGTGTTCTAGAACGCTTTGCCTTATAATGGCTTCGAATTTTTTCGTTGCTTTGATTCATTATGGGGAATACAAAGTAGAATGCTTCACCGTAGTCAGCTGAAAAATAGAATGAGTACCGTTTCTACCGTTACTTTCGGTGGAAAATTCCATCGCATAAAAATTATGTTTGGCTTTAATTTGTGCTCATTTACACACGGTGATTTTTGTTGCGGCAACTCGACGCTTGTAGGAGAGAGCGTGATGAGGAAAGGAGAGGGGCACCAAGTTCTCGTGCTCGGAACACACTTTGAGCTCTCGTTCGTCTGTAGGTGCGTTCTTTTAAAATCTCCAGTAAAAACCAACCAACAGCAAAATTCCGGCGATATGTCACCAGATCTCTCACAAGAGATAAATATCCAAAACAGTACGCGAACAGAAAATTTGCAGAAACTTGCAAGTTACACGAACAGCTGATATAATTTTTGTTTACATTCAAAAGTGTAAAATTTAAAACGTACGACAACTCACCACAAAGTGGTATCCTGACACAGTTTATTGATTAAACAAATAACTACTTACTTCTTACAAGTTTAATTAGTCGCATTTTGTAATTTTTAACTTCCAAACCATCAAATTCAATCTTGTGATTTGCGTAAATTCAGACCAGCTGTTTTTGATCAGCTGTTTTCCTGTTGGCAAATTGCTGTTGGCAAAAATTTTTCCACCAGAAACCAGCAGCTTCCCCTCAAAATGAAATGTCACTTTGGTCTCTCAATTTCCCCCCTTTGCAAGTTTTTTGCGTACGCGAACGCAAAAACCTGAAAGTTCTGGTTAAACATAAACAATTAACAGCTACGCGAACGCAACTTGTGTAAATTGAGTTAGCGGGTTCACAGCTGACAACCAGTGCTGCCGTTTTGAACCATATACTTCAAAACTGATCCGTGCTTGTGCAAATTTCTGGAAGATACTTTATTTTTTCGCTCATTTCGCAAGATACTTAAATATTTCGCGTGGTAAAAATTTTGATACATGGCAAAGAGAAAATATGTATGCAGTGGAAGTTTTAAAAATTGTATCGAAAATATTAAAACGTTTTGGGGTCAAATACGCTTAAAGAAAAATGCTTTAAATTACCTATGTGTAAATAGCTGACTCCATTCATTATGCCCGAGCGCACTTGTGCACAAGGGTATTATAACTTTGTTTACATAACGGTTGTTTTTAAAAGCCAAAACGAATCGAGATAGATATAGACAAATGTGTACATAAATCAAATGAAATGAAAAGAGAGGTCGATTAGGCCATGTCTGTCTGTCCGTCCGTCCAAAATGAAGGTAGTCCCAGCTTTTTGAGGTAATTTCCAACGAGCTTAACGTGAAATGTATCACATAATTTGGCATTTAACTTAAATGATCGACAGCTATTAGTTTTAAGTTTGTACATATATTTGAATTCATGTTTATATAAAATCTGTACATAATATTTTTGTTCGTCTCTATACAAGATTAAAAACAATAATCTCTTTTTTAATAGATTGTCACAATATGTAAAATATTTTTCTTCATGTACATAAGTACATATGTATGTGTATGAATGTGGATTACATGATTTTTCGGTTATTGAAAATAATAAAATGCAAAAGTATGAAACCAAATAGCATTTTTTTAACTTTTTGCTAACTTGATACTTTGATACTTAAATAAAAAATGTGTGATACATTTGATCCATTTTTACCTCGTTTTTATTAGCTTGGGATGTAACTATGTAATATTGATACATTTTTTCATGACGTAGCGGCAACACTGCTGACAACAACAATTGCATACGAAAAAGTCGCGGTGTTTAAATGAAACGCGCAACACCAAAACGGAATATGAACAAGTAAAGAAGTATAAGTTCGGGCGAAACCGAACATTATATACCCGGCGCACATATTAAATATCGTTTTTTCACCTTTCAGTAAACTGCATGATAAGCATTTCGAAACATTTCGATAATATACTATAATTTATTGAAATAATTGGACCAAATCGGTAAGGCGGTTATCAATAAACACTTACGTAGTAAGTAATCAATCACCTTGTGTCTTTTTAAGTGATTGTTGTAGGTTGGCGTCTTAGCTTATTAAAAAATCTGAGTTTTCGTATTTCTGAAATGTACCGTCATATGGTAAGTGGCAGTAATTTTAGTCCGATTTCAAAAATTTTCAGCATATTGCCTTTTCACGCCAAGGTTGATAAATGTGCCGAGTTTGGTAGAAATCGGTAAACCGGTTACCGAGATACACATATGTATGCATAAGTGGGCGGTGCCACGCGCATTTTCCAAAAATTTCCCTAATTATAATTTTCTGCTAAGAGTTTATTGCATATAACGATTTTGAGTAAATTAGCTTAAATAGTTACTTACTTATTTATCACAGTTTTTGTATTTCTGTAAATTACCGTTATTTGGGAGGTGGGCGTGGTTCTTGTCCGATTTCAAAAATTTTCAACAGGTTCCTTAGTCAAGCCTTAAGAAATGTTCTCAGCTAGTTTGGTGGGGAGTGGTGAAGGGACTACCGAGATACAGCTTTTTATCATAAGTGGGCGGGGCCACGCCCATCTTCCAAAAATTTCATAAATGTCTTATTTTATGCCAAATTTCTACATCGCATACCAACTTTCAACAATTTGGATCCAGTATTTGCGAAAATATCGTACTTTTTGCATATTTCGAAAATACCGTTATATGGGTGGTGGGCGTGGTCATTGTCTGATTCTTACCATTTTCAATCCCAACCTACCTTGGATAAAGGGAAACCTACTTACCAAATTTTGTTGACATATCTCAATTTTTTCTCGAGTTATCGTGTTCACGGACAGACAGACGGACGGACGGACAGTCACCGCTTAATCGATTTCTCTTTTCATTCTGATCATTTATTTATATATATATCTATATCTATCACGATTCGTTTTGGCTGTTACAAACAACCGTTATGTGAACAAAATTATAATACCCTTGTGCACAAGTGCGCTCGGGTATAAAAATCGCGTCGGCAAAAGTTTCCGTGTATAAACACAGACAGTGAAGTTGAAATCACTCAATGAAGTGAAGTACAATTTTTGTTTTAAGTGGGGAAGTACAATTATAAGTTTAATTAAATATGTATGTACGTACATACCAGGGTAGCCAACTCATTTTTGAGAATTCCCCGATTTTGACAATGAAATTCCCCGATTTTGCCCGAAATTTCGTAAAATCCTGATATCATCCAGATTAGGGATGTTGCGAATGTCCGCGGATGCGAAAGCGGATGCGGATGTTTAAAAGCTAACATCCGCGAATGCGGATGCGAATGCGGATGTCATGTATTTTTAAGAAATAATTTAGGTGGGTAAATTAGGTGATTTAGATAAATAAAAATGGAAAGGTTAATAATTTCTAATAAACCACGTTATCTTGATTTTTGCCCGAAAAAAAAAATTCACCCGAAAATTTGTATTCCGCCCATAGTAAATATGTACATGAAAACCAAAAGTGGAAAGTGAACCGGTTAAGACTGAATGTTTTTTAATACTTGAATTTAAAAATTGGAACATTGTACTTAATAAAAACTTTTTGAACGGTCGTAAATCAAACCTGCGCCACTATATAACTACTCGCTCGAGGCGACAAACTTGCAACTTGGCAAAATTGTAAATTCTTTTCGATTGAAACTGCACCAGTTGAGAGGACTTTCAGTTATATTTATTTATCCTTATTGCGGTGCAATAATTACTTTTTGAGAATTTCATCGGGGCTGCAAATGTCGGATGTATCCTCCTGACATTCATCTTCACAATCCAGCATCATGGCACATGTTTAAACACCGTTTTTTTCAAAAGAATTCTTCATTCTCATGCTTTTGGTTGTTTCGAAGTTTTTCACGTCATCAGCGTTTTTCGAATT